AAAAGACATTTTGACACAAAAAAAAACATTTTGGATACGCGACCCACTTGTAGTAGCTGCGGCCTTCGATTGTCTAGGGCGCTTACCCTGTCCAAAGCTAGCTACCTCAGTCAGAGGAGCTGTTTGGCATGGGGTGATGTGAAGGCGCTTGCAGAATGGCATGTTCATCCCTCGCATGATTTTGTTTTCGACGGGCGACGCTGGTGCTGTAGGCGCTGCCGCAGGCGAGGCCCGTTAAACTTTTGCCGACGTTGGCAAGGAAACTGCAAGGCTCAGGCCTAGCTTCAGCTCTGCTGTGTTGGTTAGGAAAAAGTTGCTTTTGTCCTGCTTTTGCTGGCATGATTGCCAAGCAAGCTCCCTCTTGTTGGCCGTGCCAACAAGACAGCACTGCCAAACATATCACGAAGTCAAAATGTCAAATTGTGGGTGGCCTCGAAACTTCTGTCTTGCAGGCATCCGCGCTGGATGCTTGGCTGCTTGCCCCGCATGGGCAGATCTTGCCGGCAGTTTTGCGTTGCACGACGTGCCCCGCTGCCCAAATGAGTAAAAAATCCACAACATGTGTCAAGACTACCCTATGAGCACTGCGGACGGCAGATACAAGAACGTGCTTCCTCAGGTGAGGATGCAATGCTAGCAAGAGAAACGAACCTCAACCGACCTATTCAACACATGGGCGTATAATGAGGCTTTGCGATTCGTTTCCCCACCCAGATGCTGGGAACAGCTGAATACTGACATGGACAGAAAGAAATTCAAAAAGAGTGGTCAAGCACGTCTTGGGACCACGCAGCGCGCGACGTCCAACCTGCCTAGTCGTGCTTTCTTGATGGTCTGAGCCAATGGGCTGCATGTCTGCAGTATCCCGTGATGCCAGGATTGCAAAATGCTGCAAGGCCTGCCGAACAGCACAGCTAGGGAAAGTTGCAGGATATCTGGACAGTCTAACTGACTATGTAAATAGGTTGCCAGACGATCGTATGCGCAGGCTCAGGCATGAGCAACGGAAGCGACTCGGCCATAAAATTGCACAAAACCTGCAGTGCGTACCCTGAAGCATCGAGGCCAAAGAGCGTGGAACCCCAGGAAGAGATCGAGTCGCCTTCGCAGTGGCCAGAAGCAACGAAGCAAGGCTTCCGACAGAATCATCTTCGATTCCGTACTCTGAGGCTTTCGCCACTTCTATCCTGTCACATTGCATCCATTTCGTAAGCGCTTTCTCAACTCACAGCTACCCTTCCTTCGCACGCAGAAGGCGCTCAAAGGTTGCAACTTCCTCGGTGAGACTTCGAGGAGAAAACAGAAAAAGAAACAGTTGCAAAACCTCAGGGCCTGGCAGAGGTGGCGACAGCTTCCCTGAGACAAGCCTCGACAGGTGGAATTCGAGCGTGGGACAGCAACGTAGATCTGTGTTGTCCCTCTTTGTCTTCATTTGTGATCTGAGAGTGCTCCGATGCCACTGCGCTTGCTGCCAGCCTGCAATGCCTTCACGCCAAACTCCGACGCCTCAGAAGCTGGTGAATGATTCGACAGGGCGGGTCGATCAAGCTATCTGGACAGAACAAGCCAGAACAAGCTACGAAACAGTGACATACATCCACGGCCGGGGAAGAAAAAGCTCTGACGGAAGGCTGAGGCCCCTTCCACATCTGCAGGCGAATCTTGCTGCTCCTTTTTCTGTTGCGGGGGGGAGTGGGCTCCAGAGACATGGCCTGCACGAAAGGCAAGTTGCAACGAGGACGTGCACGATTTTTTCGGCTCGTTCATCTGGCTCTGGGGGCTTCTGACAGTACATGGCTTGCTGAGGCGCCCCCGGCAGCCGGCATCAAACAGCTTTCTGAAGTCACCCGCTTTCACTCATGTCAAACATGTCCGTGACTCTTGTGCATTCTGACGCAGGCTTTGCCTTAACACAACGAGCGGGGATTCCAAGCGCAGCTGTTGTCACGATGACTGCCAGGTTTGCCATGCACAAGCACAGCCGCACAATATGCCATCCTGCCGAAGCAGCCACCCCTCACAACGACATCCTCCAGAAGCAGTTGGCCGATGTACAGCTACCTTTAGGAACTTTAGGGTTTGCCCTGGATTCTGCAAGGTTGTATCAATGGCTCGGCCAGAACGATGCATTGCAAGCCCGAGCTGTACAATGTCTCGCCGCTCTTGCATCTTCTCGAGCACACCGGCCCCTTCTATTTGGCGCCCTTGCTCGCCAAGAAGTCTGCGTACTGCACGTCATACAGCGTCGTGTGCTCGTGGAATTCCTGCAAGCTGCTTAAGCTTGTCATCAGGCAAGATATCTTAAAATGTCGTCTGCTTCTGCTCCGCTAACCGCAAGTACAGTATCAACAGGGCAGGTTTGCCTGCAGAAGCTCTCGCACAAAAGTGGCTGGAACAGATGGACCGCGGGACAGCTGCTTGCGAACCTGCAGCTCTGTCAACTGTCGCACGACGATTGACATCACAGTGAAGCCAATGCGATTGACATCACAGTGAAGCCAATGCAAAGCCTTGTCAAGCAGCCGTCGATGCTCGTTGGCGTGGCTCGTCTTTGCAGACAACTTCTCCTAACCAACAGAGAGGAACCGATGCTTCGGGTCAGACCAGTCCTTTCTGAGCTCCGCACATTCGCATGCACCCCAAAACCGTGCTCCTCGAACAAAGCTTCCTTCCAGGAGTTTCACGGCAGATCCATGCAAATGTCAGTGACCAAAATGGGGTCCAGCACTCCCTCAGCTTTACTGCACTCCTCGTGAGCGAAATGGTCCGACAAGCATCTAAGAACCTCCTCGCACAGAGCCAAACAAATGCCACAGGTTTGGAGACTCGCTGCGTCGTCGAGCCTCCAGCACCTCTCGGGACCTGGAACTTGAGACACACAATGCACATTGCGACGTGTTTGGGCCGTTCATCGTTCATGCATCTAAGCTGAATCACCGGCCGGTGTTCTTCCAGCTAGAGCGATGCAGCTGACATGCTGGAAAGCCTATCGAGAGCTGGAGGAGGTGGTCCGGCCTTGTCTCAACAAGGCGTCGCAAGGCTACGGCGCACTCTTCGTGCTCAGAGTCCATAGATTCCACCTGCCAAGGATGGGCGGAGGCAGCAAGTCGCGCTGTTGCCGAAGGAATTAGATTGGCCTTTACGCTAACCAGGTCCAGAGCTTGACTGACAAAGGACGGGTCAATCTTGCACCTGAGATCGACTGCTTGGCTGTCGTTCAATTTGGCATCCTGGGCATCGGACTCGGTCTTATCGCAGGTGCGTGGATCGCACTCGGTGCCTGCCACTGTGAGGCCGACAGTTCAATTCTGCTTGCGATGCACAAAGGCCACGCCTGAGTTGTAGCCAGCTTCGCAGCCCATTCCTGGTTTGCACTTGCCTCCGTTGCAACTTCCGCAATCCTCCGCCTGACAGATGAGTCGGCAAGCCATGGATGTCTGCGAGGCTCCGCGGACCGTCCTTTTCGCAGCCCTTGCTCGCGCTCGTGCTGCAACCTAGCTCCCAGGCGGACTGACTGGCTTCCCCCCCTTCCAACCCCACACCTTGGCCGCAGGTGCCGTCGCTGCAAGTCTGCATGCTCTCCTCATCCATGGGCTCCGAACGCTCCACCTGAAGGGCACAGCTCTCCAAAGCCTCTTGTAAGGCCCAAAGGCCCAGACTGACGAGCGTGGAACAGCAATCACTTTTCCCTGCATCGGCCCATCCTTGGCTGTCTCCAGTTCTAGGCAAGGCGGCGCGAGAGAGAGAGAGAGAGAGGGAAGGCAGGCAGCAGCGATTGCAACAAATAAGCTGCTCACCATGAAGCCAAAGTGAACCTAGTTAAAAATGTGCATCCACGTTGACCGATCCAACACCAGTTTCCTGCCTTGTCACCGTCTGCTCGCGTACAAATCCCCCTGTCAGCTACTGAACAAAACTGCAAGTATCGGTGCAGGCGGCTCAATGGGTGCCGTCCTGTAACCTTGGAGCTTTTCCAGTCCCGCTGGTGCTTTGACCAGTTGCACTTCTTCGCCAGGACCTCACTGCGCTTTGTACCAAACAGTCGGAGTCAGCATGTAGCATGCGGACCTCTTGGCTTTCCCTGATCTGTCCTCGCAGATCCTCGCAGAATACCCAGTCTGAGATCGCCACAGAGGTCTGGCAGGGGCAGGTTCTTGCACACAGAGTTGAGCAACGCCTGCGCCACGTAAAACTCGCGCACAACTCAACATGTCAAAAGACGTCAAGAAAGCTCCCGACTCTTCCGTCAGACAGTAGAGCACTTTTCAGTGTGTCCTCTCTCTCTCTCTCGAGGATTTTTTCTGCAACTGTTCTGCAGCTGCCTGCTGCTTGCGTGCTGGCGGAGGCCACTTGAGACTTAGCAGAGACTTAGCATTCGCAATGTCCTTTGCAGCCAAATTGTGAGGTGTGCTGGGCCTTGGTCTCGAGATTTCGCTCCGCAACTCTTCGACTCCCGTTCGGTGCTGCCTCCACGTGCTGGAACGCCAACGCACGGACCTGCAAAACCCCAAACCGAAAGCAAAGCGCGCTGTCTCTGCCTCCATGGCCTGCATGAAGGGAGACGTGGCATCAGAGACGACCTTGTGCCTTCGGCCGATACACATCTGACAGGATGACCGGAACCTATCCCAGACCGAATTCGTAAGGAATCTACTCCTTGTCCAGGATAATGAAACCCTGACAGCCCAGCTGCCCGTACCTGCCATGACGGTTGCCATGAGCGAAGCTGCGTGGCCGCAGTGTCGCAATGCTCTGAGGGTCACGTGGGCATGTCTCGAGCTGACTCTACAAAGCCATTAACCTCGGCTGTAACAAGTGAAGGCTGCTGCCCTTCAATATCAAGGAGGGAGGCCATGGCACAGTGCGTAAGCTTCATCTGATTGCTCATCTCCTGTGGAAGCTCAAAGGACTTGTAACAGGTCTTTTCTTGTTGAGCAAAGCCATGCCTTGCACAAGCCATACGCGGAGCGGTCTCCCAGCACCTCATTCGCTCTTTCGCATATGTACAAGAACCTCATCATCTCTCAAGGCCAAAGGTTGTTCCAGCTGAAGCCTCCCGGTTCGATTCTGTCCGATTAACTTGGTCCCTGGCACAGATGCAAAGGAAGTTACAGTCAAAAACGCCCTCGGCCTCGGAGACGGAGCGTGCGGGCAGATGCGGGCAGCTTAGGAAAACACACATCCCTTCGGGTTTCTAGGGGTGCTTGCAGCCCATGAGTTCATCTGCTGCGCACAGGGCCAACATCCACCTGCCGGATGAGGCGACAATTGAAGGCTCGAACAGCCACGCAAGCAAGCCTCAGGAGGTATAGAAGTGAATCACGGTCGGCTTGCCCTTGTAGTCACACCTTCCAGCTGCAAACACCATGGCCAATGGGCATAGCTGTTGGCGCTCTCCTACCATGCCTTCGCATTCAAAGAGGCATGCCGAGGGCCATGCAAAGACACCTTTTTCTGCAGTGGCTTTGCCTGGCTTTCTGACATGCTCGCCCGAGCATCAGGCTGCAAGCCTGGGGACGCAGTTTCGAAGATCACATGCGCGTGCCTCGGGGTAAGGGGAAACCAGCTCGAAAGACACCTGGCATAATGAGCAAAGGACGACCTTCCGTATTCTTGCCTGAAACGTGATCAGCGCCTCTGGTGCACCGGCCGCGGCCATAGCCCGCCGAGCCTGTCCGATGCCACTTCTCACATAAAACATTGGAAGCCAACTTTCCATGCCTGAGCTGAATTCGAAAGCCTCCGAGGGCCTAGCTCCAGCCGTGAAGCTTTGTACAAATCGCTTGCAACCTTGCTCTGCTCTCCAGAATTGCCACCAAGCAGCAAACAGCCGAGAGACGATTTCCCATATGCTTGCACAGTTCTTTGAGCCGCAGGGTAGCAGACAGTATTCAAGGTGGCGCAACTTGCTGGATCTAGACGAACCATGGTTTTGGAATTGCACTAGAGTCCTTCCCAATTCAACGCCATGTCTCCAACAAGCATGGGCGTCCTCGTCCAAAGCTTGTGAAAGAAGACTCCTTTTGGCCTGGCGGGTTGTCTTGCATTCGGTCTCATATCTGGCTATGTGGAGCGAAGAATGCCTCGAAACATCCGCATGAACGTGAGGCAGCTACAGCACAAACACCTATCCCTTCATAAGTCACGTGCTGACAACAAAGTTGTGCAGTGCCACCTCGACTGTTGGACAACATATATTTGACTTACTAATAGGTAACTTCTGAAATAGATTGCCACCTCCTCCAGCTGCTTGGGGTCCCTCTTGTCGACGGGTCTCGAACTGGCACATCTGTAACTCTCTGCCTATGTCTTACTCCAGCAGCTGCACCACTCCGGCTGTCGGACATCAGAACCTGGATGCTTCTTGAATCTTGGGCGCGAGGAGCTGCAAGAAGCTCGACCTATCGACTGCCGCCCCACTTGAAAAAGCCACGTTCAGAAGCAGTGCTTCTTCTACCATCCAACTAATCTGAGGGCATGCCGGCCTTTGCGGGTCGTCCAGTGGCACGAAGTCTCGGGCTAGCTTCCCTGCTGCACTCAGCCTGCATGTTGTGAGGGAAAGCAGATCCTGTCAAACTACATACCTTTTGCTTCAGCCTGACCTTGTCGGATCCGCATTTTGCTCGAGGAGCAGATGGCAAAGTGCAGAGTCTCCGCCACACGCAGCCTCCATTGTGGTGGGAGACTTGGAGTTTGTTTGGCCTTTCAACCGGAAATTTATCGCTCTGAGATACATGTTAGAAGTCGCTTCAGGCCAAATTTCTATGCATCTGCCGTCGCCTCCATCAGCGCAGTCTCCCCGGTCAGGTCATCTGCGGTGTCTGGGTCTGCCCGAGCCTGGTAATTAGTCTTGCCGTGTCTGATGCATTACATGTCGAAGGCAAGCAGGGAAGGTAACATAGGCTCGCTTTGCGCAGCTGAGTCTAAGTGACTCCATGCTTCTCCGCAAGTCCTGTCAGATGCGCATTCTGCGCATGTCCTGACAAGAGGAACTGAGAGGCCTTCCGATCTGCCACTAGCGGCACGACCCGAGTATGCCGCCCACCTGTTGTCACTTCACATGATGCTGTAGATGTGGCAGAGACCGGCAAGGCTCAGATCTTCTACCTTTGCACTGCCAGGATCTCTGGCGAGTGCTTGAGTGAAACCACAGAAAAATAAATCATCGCGCATCGCCGCACGAAGGAAAAGACCTGGTGATGCTCAGCCTATGTCTCCGGACCTCACAGAAACCAAGCTTTTCATGTGGCTTTCTGTTTTGTGGCACGCGTGGCGATGGATGAGCTCAAGGGGCAATCTGTCCGGCAATCACTCCAGCCTTCCGGCACCGCCACAGCGACGAGCTGTTCCAGCTGCTGCTCCAGCCCGGCCTGTCATGAGACATCCTGCGAATTTAGTGCCGCGGCGCAATGAAGCACACATGGCTACATGCAAAGGAGGACTAGGATAGCGCACACGCTGTGAATATTCCATTTTGGACTGAAGTTCCCCTCAGCAAGTTGGTTTACACAAAGGTGTGGCTTTCGGCCACTTCTGCGAAGACACAAGATCGACTGGAAGCTGCCTCCGCCGCACCTGTGTAGGTCGTGAAAAGCACTGCAACTGTCGTCCTTGCACAAGAAGCACCTCATCCGCCCACCTCCGGCTGTCTCAGCCTGTCGGCGCCTGGTAAGCAGCATCGCCGTCAGCTTGGACACGCCAATTTGGTTCGCAGGTGAAGTAAACCTTGCAGAATCTTGCAGATGCACAGTGTTTCGCCGAAGTTGGCACTTATGATGCGCGCACCCTAAAGGCTGCACGCACAAACCAAACTGGCCTTTTTGGAACTGGCCACCAGTTTTTGTTTCTGAATGTGCTTTTATTTTGCAGCTGCCGTTTGGGCCGTGTTTTGTGGCAGCAGTTGGGGAATTCCGATTTCTGTTCTGCGGCACGCCTTTGGGAAATTCCATTTTGCATCGTCCTGTCTCGAGTCGGCTTTTGGAGAATTCCACCAGGAGGGAGGGAGGTTGGAGGGAGGGAGGGAGGAGGGAGAGAGACAGCGAGGGAGAGCGACATGTCTGTGCATACCACTGCCTCTGAGACTTGGAGACACTGTGGACCTTGCTTGCTTGCTTGCTAGGCATACCAGTATGGGAAGTTGGATGCGAAGCCCTCCCTCCCTGCAAGCGGAGTTAGTTTGTGTCGTCACTGGTAGGTGAGAAGTGTCAAAATCCTGGGGCCCTTTTGAGCCTGGTTTCTACTCCGACATGCCGAGTCCTGCTGATCGCTAGTCATGCCTCCGTGCATGCAAGGTTCTTTCTGGCTAACTCATCCAGGACTGCAAGCTCATCCGCTTCCTTCACGTGCAAGCCTAAGTATCTCATGTGCCCGAAACGGAAGTGCCTTTAACTCGTGTCACTCATTCATTCTCAAGGTGGGTTTGCTTGTACTGTTGCACACTGCCGAGCTTCCCTCGATCTGCTCAAGCTCTTGCGCCAACATCCTGACGGGACTGTGCCATGAGTGCTATGCACAAAGAATGGCATTGTCCTGACAGAATCCGACAGCCATGATGTTATTATTTAGACATGGTAACAGTGATGAAGACTGAGCAGGGTCTCCGCCGTTGCATTGCACGCATCTTCTGCGGATTCTGCGGCTCGAGTGCCTCGAAGGGCGATAAGCGACATGCAGATCAGCCATTTGATGCGGATCTAACCACACACACACACACACACGCACAACCAACTGCAACACCGACATGTCGGAAATGATATTATTAGGGAAAGTCGACGGGGCATCGTGCAAGGAAAAACGACTGGTTTGTCAGCGCCTTGGCTTCGCGCCTGCAGAGTCGCTCTGTGACGTCACCTTCGCCTGAGCAGCACGATCGTGCAAGAAACCGGGCGATCTGCTTCTGAAGATCCAGAGCTTAGATGTATTTCAACTTTTTCCTGCATCTAGCAGCTACCGTTTGCAGCCAAGCGTCGTTGGAGCAGCTGTGCTTTGCGGGAAATCCGCGGCCGAAAGCTGGGCTCTTCTGTGTGCCTGGCATGTGGCGAATCTATCGCTGCCTCTGTCACTGAGAAGCCAGTCGGCAAGCACTCTGCATTCTCGGCACACAAACACTCACGAGTTCCGAAGCGCCGCTCGTGCGCAGAAACCGCAAGAATTTGTGCTGCTTCAGGGCTGTGCTTGGTCTCGCTCAAGATGCTCAAGTCCAGACTCAAGCCCGGGAGCCCTAACAGAAATTCCAAGTTCATCCAAGACACGTCGCACGCTTCTTCTGTTTCTGGTGAACACGGTCATGCCAGGGCTCCCCAGCGTCAAGCACGTGTCTGCGGGTCGTGATGACATGGCGTGCTATTGCGCTTGGGAGCTGCGTTCAGGAAATGTTGGGATTTCTGCACTAATTACAAGTCGCGCAACTCCGAACTTCAGCCTGAAGATTGCTTTGCTGCGCTCGTTGATTTTCGGCTGAAAGGTGTGCTCAGCAGCTTCCACTTCCTTCTTCGCATTGACAGCCTCTGTCACCTGGACGTCTGCACACGCAGGTCATGCCTTTGCATCGTACACCTCTGCAGAGACACAAACGTGAAATGATGTGAAGGAGCTGCCTTGCGATTGCGGATCACGGACCGCGTAACGTCTTCTTTTCGACTCCACGGCGGGGCGTAGCCTCGGAGTCAGCCGGTTTATGGTGACGAGGAGTAAAGCAATGCAGACGGTCTTGCCGAGCCCGGCCGGGATCTTGCTCTATCGTGAAATTTCGTGAGACCAGCTGCGAAATGAATGCTCTCGCCCAGGCCTGCTCCAACTAGCTTGCGTGACTCTGCAGTGATGTTGGGCGCGGCCAACATCTGAGTCTCCTGAACATTATCACAACGCACTTGCACTGGATCGGATGCAGCCGGTAGACGGTGTACGTCGCACGCGCAGCTCACACCAGCGAAAAACAATTTGGACCTCTCACCGGCTCTCGAGAATGCACGATGTCGTGAAACACAACAGCAACACGAGCGAGCGACGGCAGGGTGGCTGCACTCCGCTCCACGCGCCACTGGCGCCGCTCCTGATCGTCCTTTTGCTTTTGAGCGCTTTCCAGTTTGGCTTGCCTTTGCTTTATGAACTCGACGTTGCCTCAGTCCGCTTGCGACATGGGAAGACCCACCAAACCGTGCAGAAAAGAGTGCAGTGAATACAAGCGAAGAATGTCCCGTACGTCCAGGCAACGCTCGTATGTTGCGATAGGTGGGCTTTGCGTGCGCGTCGGAGACCTTCATGAAGCGGAGGTCTCTGACAAAGAATCAAAGCTCTTCTCCCTGGCCTCTTTTGGCTTCGTGGAGGAGGCCCGAAGAGTGTGTAGTGCGAACCAAGTTGGTGACCTTGCGGCCTGTCAACAACGCAAAACTTCGGACCCACTACTGATTCAAATGATGCTTTCGCCAAATGCCAGCCTCTTGATTGACCACTGTCGACTTGTAGATGGACTGCTTGGTGAGCTGCTGAAGCTGACCGCACCTGTGAACATTGGACTAGATCCCAGAGGTGGAAAACCCTAGCTGCACCGAACTTTCAGCGACCTGGTGATTGTGCCGGAGATGCTTTGGAACTCTCTGCAGATGTGGTCCTGAAGCAGAAATAGACGGTCAAGTGTGTGTAGAAAGTCGGAAGGATTCCAGAGCCTGCGAATGGAGTTGACATCATTGAGAGCAGCAGACTGTAGCAGCAATGAGTCGACCTTCTCAGGCAAGCTGTCAACATTTGAGGCCGACAGGATTACGAGGCGCCTGTGCAGAAAGCGTTGTCATGAAGTCGGTCGAAACCATGTCTGTTCGCCGGGTGCGCTGGCTCGACTGCACTTCATCATGGGTAGTCTCCTCGCAATCTGCAGCAGGTTTTCGACTGCACTCAAGCTGCCACTTGTGATGGTAGCATATGTGCGGCCTATACCAACCTCCAATGTCTGCAGGACATCGCACGACATGCCAAGTACTACTGTAGTTACTAGCCTCTGCTCGCAATCGCAAGTTGTGGCAAGTCCTGCAGCAAGGCCTCTGCCAAGAGAAGCTGCTCTTCGTGGGAATAAGCAGCATCCTGTGTGACTTCGCTGACAGGGGCATAGGTCATTGTGGCTACAGCTGGGCAAGTGCGCTTCGCGAAAGATCCTGCAGCAGAACAGGTTCTTCTGCAACCATGGCTCGAGCGATACAGAAGGGTGGGGTAATTCTGCTTCTGTCACAATTTTGCATCCCGAAGACGGACTTCTGGTAGGCACTTTCTCTGCACTTGTAGTGGACGATGGCAACTCAATGGAAACATCCTTTAGGGTCAGGAAATCAAACCCTGCAATGTGCAAGAAAGCCGCTGTTCAGAGGGATAGGAAGCTGCGGATGGACTTAGTACTGGCCGATTCGTAGGCGAGGTGCATCCAGAACTCAAGACCAAGCTCAGAATGCGATGGATGCCATGTGGAGGAACATGTGCGAGGTAGCATGAAGTAGCCTCCAAAAGGTGACGCACTGGCAGGAGTCTTCCGTTTCCCAGCTCCTGCATCACTGGCTCTGCGGCAGTTTCGGTGCTGTTCCTGTCAATATCGGAGGCAGCCCAGGCTGCGTGCTTGTCGCCAGAGAGTTCTGATAGCGCGAGGGAATCGACGGGTGGCTAAACATCGCTAACCCCACGCTGGGTCTCGGGACCTGCCTACCAGACCTTGCAGTGGAGAAGCACATCCCTGCTGTGTTGTTTCAGTCCTCTGCAGCTTGCGCGAAGGCTCCTGGCATACGCCAGATACTCCCTCAACTGCAAATTTCAATTTGATCCCCCAGGTTGAGCGCGTCAGAGCACTTTCCGTGAAAGCCGATTTGCGACTGGCGGTCTCGCACTTGAAAGGCCGGCCGTGAAAAACGAAAGCTCAGCGTCCGTAATGGTGGTGGTAGTAGGAGCAGTAAGAGTAGCGGCAGCATCAGTGATGTGGCGGTCAGTTTAACAAGGGGGGCGCCCAACTTACAAGACACCTTGCCCCACTAATCTATGGAACCATTCCGCCAAGCCGGTAGCCAAATATCAAGCCAAAAAATCCCGAAACCAAATCCCCGTTATTCCTTAGCCCAAAATCTCAGCCCAAAATCTCAAGCCCAAATCTTTGTAAAACCATATTCCGAAAATCCCAAGCAAGAAAAAAACACCTTCCCCCATAAACCACTGTTATTCCTCAACCCAAGTTCCCCTTCCCCCACAAATCCCCGTTATTCCTCAACCCAATTCCCAAGCCGTAAAACCAAAAACCCAAATCCCCTTAATACAATTAACCCATAAGCCTTAAACCCAAGAATAACAATAAGCCGATACTGGGGCAAGGTGTCTCTAATGAAAATGTAGTAATACCTAACCCAAGGAGACCCCTTATCTTGAATTAAGAAACCCCATAACTTGACTCAAGAAGCCCCCTATCTTGACTCAAGAAACCCCCTATCTTTAACCAAGAAGCATGCTACCTTGACTCAAGAGACCCCCTATCCTCACCAAGGGAAAACCCGCCACTAAACCTACAAAGAATCACAACCCCAACCACCAAAACACCAAGCTCAAACCTTTTCCAATACTGTGGCTTCTTTCACAAGCAAAGCAACATGTGTTTTCAACACCGTCGCTTCTTCTTGGGTGGCTCATGGAGATGCTGAACCGGCAAGTTTGAAAGCGCAACGCTATCACGACACGCTCTCATCAGCAAGTCCTTCTGTGCATCTTCATCTGGGGCGCTCCTGTCCTCCTCCGTGCTTTCCTCATCGCTGAAGTCATCGCCCGAGAAATGCTTGCCATTCTTCAAGCCCTTGAAGTCTTTGTGCCCCAACAACCGCAGAGCACGTGCTTCCAGACCACGAACGGTGTAGAACGGCAAGTCGTCTGCAAAGTGGTACATGATGCGAAGGCTTTTTCCATCTTTGATAGCCGATTTGGTCTTCCCAGCTGTGGCTTTGCCTTTCCCTTTTGCATACTCGTCTTTGTAGTCCGAAACCTCCTTCCTCAACGACTCTCGGATGACCTCCTTGACATCGGACAGCTTCTGAATATTCTCCTCGATTTTCTTCTTCTGATTCTTCGGGAAGAAACCGCAGACGTTGAAAAGATGTGTCGGAACTTCCTGCCCAACCAGCACACACAGCCCTCCGCCGAAATTCACGGTGAAGCCGCCCTTCTCTTCAGTGATGTCCTCCACCGCGGTCTTCACAAAAAGGCTGTCAAGATCCAGCTGACTTGCTCCATACTTCTGGTACAAGACGAGGAACTCACGGGAGTTTTTCTCTTCCGCCTTGGCATGGCACTGTTGCAGGTCGGGTAGGAAGGCTAATTTAATCCCTGATTCGGCGTCCATGGCTCTGTGGGGCGACTGAGTCAGTCCAATCGCATTCAGTTTGGTGCCATGATGCTTACCCCAAAAAAGTTTGTTTTTGCCAAACGCCAACACCATCTTCGGAATCCAGCTGCCCTTCTCTTTGACGGGGATAAGGTGACAGGCTTGGAGAGCGAAGGCTGGAGCACCAGGCTGAAATACGGGATTTGCCTTCACTTCCGCGCTCACTGCGCTCGGAAAACGCGAGTGTGCAGCAGCGGGACGCTGTTTGGGAGCCATGGCGCAAAACCAACGGAACAACACTGTGAACGCCCGTGTCATGTTCATGTATGCGTCTATGGACATGTACACTATGTTTGTTGTTTTCTGTGCAACGTCGAGCAGGAACAGAATGAAAAGGCTATACGTGGAGCAACAACTGACTGCAATTGCAAAGCATCTGGCACGAAATCACAACACACACATGACTACAAATGACGTTACAACTTGTTACAACTTCAGCATTCATGGCGCAAATAACGACAACCATTAATGTAACAATGTTTTTGTCCCAATGCAGTTTTAGTATCATCAATGGTATAGGAATCACTACCGCCTAAACACTCAATGAACTAAAAAGTTTGATATTATCTGTTGTAGAACACATAATATCAAATTGGGTCAGATGTAGATGACTGCATTTGTTGCATAAGCATGTCATGTTTTTGCGATTTCCTGTGCGTCGCCATGTTTCGTGGTGACACGTAGCAACCACATTCGCAAAGCCTTTTTTGCTTCAATTTGGTCATTATGTCTTCTTTGTGTTCCTGTCTGTATAATGCGTCTTGTTCAATTTTAAGCTCTCTGTTCTTCTCTCGCCATTCTTTGCCTAATTTCTTGTGATGGTCAATCGTATCTAAATAATATTGCTTACTTGTTCTGCCACATTGTATTCTATTTGCACACTCTGTGTTTCTAATGTGGTGTCCCTCTCTTGCTTCAAGCTCTGCGCGGCTGTTGCATGGAAACGGCTCCAAAAGCTCAATTTTACAATTTTCACAACCAAACTCATCAAACAAGCGAAAAGCGGTTATGAAAGGATACCGCCCTTGTAAATACTGCTTGTATTTATCTCGGTGTCTCGTCATTCGTTTGTTCCTACATAACAACTGCTAAAAGTAGTGTCCCAAATCTTATAGATTTTGCCTTCTTTGTAGTCAGGCATTAGCCTATATTTTGAATAACACTTCTTGCCTTTATATACCTTTTCTTTAAAAAAGGAATTACACCTTTAACAGTTCATGTCTCAAATATGGTCGTGCTTGAGCTTCCAAATGGTAGTATTTTTGCCCTAACGTGGTTGTGATTTTGCCTACAATATGAATTTTATCTTGCCACGAGCTCACGCGTTCCTTATCCAATTTGTCTTTTTTCTTAAATATCTTGACTTTGTCGCCTTTCTCTAACTCGGGATACTTTCTTGTTTTTGTTGCATTCATTGCAATATTAGCTTTAACTTTGAGTTCGTTTTCGGGCTTTCGTGCTTCTTTCGGTGTTAAATCTGTTGTCGAATGAACCATTTTATTATTATATGTTATCCGTCCATTGAATATTATCCTTACCTTTTTTTCATCTGCTTCAACTCTTTTAGATAACATATCCTTAAAGGTGCGCACAAACCTTTCCGCGAATGCTGGATGTGTTCGGGTTCTGTGTATTTCGATTTTTTGACTTTCAATATATTCTTTAATGACATTACTGTTTAAACTACCCTCGTCATCTGAATAAATGAGTTCTGTTTTTTTGCCCATTTTGTTTATTCCTTCTATTATTCCCGCTAATACGTCGTCTTGAAGCTTACTATCGGAACAACAACCGCAAATTTACTAAATATGTCAATTACTACCATACCAACATTAAATTTTTGATCATCCAAATCATTATTTGTAATAAAAAATAAATCTATTTGATATTCATAATAAGCATAAGGCGCAATAAAAGAATTAAACCCCAACATCGGTCTTTTCCTATCCAGATTCTTTTCAAACCACGCCTTAACATCTGTAAAACGTAATACTCTTATCTTTAGCCTTAGCATTCTTAAATGTTGTGGCAATGCTTCCAA